TCATCTTGTGCAGCAAGAAACAAAGCATTGTATTCCTGTCGTCCTCTAAGGTAGAATACTGCACTGGCAAACAAGCATGCCAGGAATTTGGCTTTCTGAGATGAACTGATGCAGGCCTCATTAGTTTAGCTATGATGCCACATTTTTTGGTTTTAATATTTTAATATTTGTATTGTAGCTAGATGTGTTTTTATCTATCGGTTGCGAGCCACCCAGATAAATGGCTATATAATTTGTTTTAAATAAACACATTGCATGTTTGCATGAACAACTAGCTTTCAAACTAAAAGAACTCATCCAATCAGATGTTCTGAAACCAACATGCAATGAATCCATACTGCAAGCCAAAGCAGCCCAAACCTGATGTAACTTGTTTAGTCCAGTTCAAACATATAATACAAATCTTGGACTGTTCAGTTAATTCAAGATGCAGCAGCTAGATTGGTGTCTTTTTTTAATTAAAAGTTTTATAAAATTTACATTGTAAATCCCCCTTACCCACCCCTCCAACCCCCATCCCCCCCACTCCCCAGAGCTGTTCCCAGGGTTACAAATATTAATCATAATCTAAATAACATTAACCAACTAATTGTATAACCAAATCTATAACACACTTTAACTCCCTTTTAAAATAAATTTAAATAAGTTAAAATAAAACACAACATGTAAAAGAAATAAAAAACTTAATTATTAAACAAAACTACTACTCAAAATTATAACAAAATCATACAAACTATTATAAAGTATTAATTTACCTATAAACATTTAATAAACTATTACCATATATACTCGAGTATAAGCCGACCCAAATATAAGCCGAGGCACCTAATTTTACCACAAAGAACTGGGAAAAAATATTGACTCGAGTATAAGCCTAGGGTGGGAAATGAGGCAGCTACTCTGCTCTCCTTGTCGTCTGCCTCTCGCACGGGCAATTGCAAATTTCTCCAGCAGCAAAGAGATGAATGGAAGGAGGCAGCGCTTCCCAAAGGCAGCCTGCTGTAAAGAGGCTTTCCCCGGAAATCGGCTGCAAGTCAAGCAAGCGGCCGAGCAGGAGACTTCCCTCCCTCCCTCCCCCAAAAAGAACTACGGTACTCACTTTCCTCAGTTCTCGAGACGCTGACTCGAGTATAAACCGAGGGGGGCATTTTTCAGCACAAAAAATGTGCTGAAAAACTCGGCTTATACTCGAGTATATACAGTAACAATAACAATATTCTCAAATTTACCCAAAAGCCAAATGGAACTTTTCAGTCCCATATTTTTTCTGAATATAATCTATACATCTTTTCCAAACCGAAATATATCTTTCATATGACTGATTCTTCAAATAACCGGAAATCTTAGCCTTTTCCGCTAAATTTAACACTTTAAGCGACCAATCTTCTACAGTAGGCAGACAATCCGTCTTCCAATATTGAGCTACTAATAATCTTGCAGCTGTTATAAGATTCAACATCAGATTCATTTCTTTGGCATCCAAATCTTGCATAATACCTAGCAAAAATAACTGTGGTGTGAACTTTATCTTTTTCTTAAAAATATTTTGAATATTCCACCAAATCTTAATCCAAAATGCTTTTACCTCCCTACATGTCCACCAAATATGGAAATAAGTTGCATCTAAACTTCCACATCTCCAACATTTGGGCTGTAAGTTAAGATACATGTGTGACAATTTTTGAGGATCCAAATGCCATCTATAAAACATCTTATAAAAATTTTCTCTTAAATTTTGCGCTTGAGTAAATTTTACATTTCTTACCCAAATTGTCTCCCATGTATCCAGTGAAATCAGTTCTTGAATATTTTGGGCCCATTTTATCATACAATCTTTAACCAATTCCGTTTCCAAGTCCAATTCTATCAAAGCATTATAAGTTCTCTTTATGTGGGCTCGAGATTGATCCTTAATCTGTTTGATCAAATTCACATCCACCAAGGTGATACCGATCTTTTGATCTAAATTCCACCTCATTAATAATTGATTATAATAAAACCAAGAATCTACAATATTTTCTTGTTTCAGATCTGCTAAAGATTTAATTTGCCATCCCTTTCCTACCGGTCTAAGTAGTTCCCTATAAGTAATATTATCCAAATTGACTCCTCTAGATACTCCCTCTATCACCTGTCCTGGAATCGCCCATATAGGAATTTTATAATTTAATCTATAATAATATTTCTTCCATACTCGTAATAAAGCACTTCTTAAAATATGAGCTTTAAAAGCTTGATCTACTTTTTTATTATAAATTAAATAAGCATACCAACCATATAATAAATCCCATCCCTCAAATGAAAGTATATTTCTATTTGTTAAGTTAAGCCAGTCACTAATCAATGTTAAAGCCACCGCATCATAATATAATTTTAAATTCGGTGCCTTAAGTCCTCCCGTTTCCCATGCATCTTGTAAAATATTAAACTTGACTCTTGGTTTTTTACCTGCCCAGATAAATGTATTAATCCCCTTCTGCCAAACCTCCAAGTTAGCTTCTCTTTTCAAAATAGGTATCAGTTGAAACAAAAAAAGAAACTTTGGAAGAATATTCATTTTTACTGCTGAGATTCTCCCCAGAAGAGATAATTGTAATTTTTTCCAATCATTTAAATCCTTTTGTACTTTTACCCACAATATCTCATAATTATTTTTATATAATTTAACATTAGACACTGTGATATAGATTCCAAAATATTTTACCTTTTTAACTATTTCAAAACCTGTCAATTTAACTAAATCATCTTTATCTTTCATAGACATGTTTTTGCTAATATTTTAGTCTTATTATTATTTACCTTAAAACCAGAGACTTTCCCATACTGAGCAATAATTTCTACCAAATCAATCACCGAGTCTGTTGGCTGAGATAATGTCAGAACCAGGTCATCAGCAAAAGCCCTTAACCTATAATCATTCTTATTCACATTTATTCCTTTTATAATAGGTGATTCACGAATTTTAATTAATACAATCTCCATTGTTAACACAAATAACAATGGGGATAACGGACATCCTTGTCTTGTACCCTTTTAAATTTTAAATGTCTCTGTTAAACCCCCATTAACTATTATCTGTGCTGATTGTTGTTGATAAATAGACTTAAGAGCAAATAAAATTTTTTCCCCAAAATTCATTCTCTCTACAACTTGTAATAAAAAAACCCCCAATCTAATTGATCAAATGCTTTTTCGGCATGATTTTTATATTTTCGGCGTCCTTAGACTAATAAGAACAGGTTTATGAGTTAATTCAATTGTTAAACAGAATGTAATATGAAGTATATAGAAGGTCAATATTTAGGTCTAACTAGTGATACTTAGTTAACAGAGTTGTGAACGTATTCAGATAAACGGTTATAAATAGAAAATATTTTATAATCTGTATTCAATAAAGACATAGGTCTATAATTCTTAGGTTGAGTTAAATCCTGATCCTCTTTTGGAATCAATGATATAAAAGCAGTTCTCCAAGATGGAGGTACATCTGCACCCTGCAAAATACTATTAAACAATTCCTTTAATGGTTCTAACATTTCATCAGATAACATCTTGTAATAGATAGCTGTTAATCCATCTGTGCCTGTGTCTTGAACTGTTAAGAGAGACCATGTTATGTTTGTTCTTAAGCTGATATGCTTAAGAACATATCAGAGTTGGCTGAGATGCTTCTGTGTGAAATATAAAATACTGAGATGATACTTTTATTTGTGTTACCTCTATGTAAACTAAAGAATTCCCAGGTATCTGTCAACAACTTTGAAACAAGTCTTCTAATTTTGTTGCCCTAAATTCAAGAATGGTTTTCTTGTAGCTTTCATGGATTGACTGATGAGAATTAGAAGCCCCCAGTTCCAAAATTACTCTGGGCAAGTTACATTAGAAACAGAAAACACAAGAAAATAAAAGTCTAACTTCTTTAGAGATCTTTGAAAGAATGGTAAAGGCTCATATTTTTAATCTGGCTTTTAGTAATTGTATTTATTAGTTTTGAATGGTTTTAATGATAAAACATATAAGGAACAGTTGCTGGAATTGGGTATGTCTAGTTTAACGAAGAGAAGAATGAGGGGGGACATGATAGCAGTGTTCCAATATCTCAGGGGCTGCCACAAAGAAGAGGGAGTCAAGCTATTCTCCAAACCACCTGAAGGCAGGACAAGAAGCAATGGGTGGAAACTAACCAAAGAGAGAAACAACCTAGAACTATGGAGAAACTTCCTGACAGTTAGAACAATTAACCAGTGGAACAACCTGCCTGCAGAAGTTGTGAATGCTCCATCACTGGAAGTTTTTAAGAAGAGACTGGACAGCCATTTGTCTGAAATGGTATAGGATTTCCTGCCTGAGCAGGGGGTTGGAGTAGATGACCTCCAAGGTCCCTTCCAACTTTTTATGATTATGATTATGATTATGATTATGATTGTATAATGTAAGTTTTATTATGGTTTTAACTGCTTTCTTTAACACTTAAAGGCTTTTAATTTTTAATGCAAGCCATCCTGTGCAGAAATGAAGATGGAGATGGAAATGGAGACAGAGATAGTGATATATCTGCAAAAAAAATTTGAATACTTCTAACATGAATACTTCGTGGAATCTCCCCCTGTCTTAATATAATGAGTCAATTTCTTTATTATGGTCTTCAACTAGAAAGTCTTAGAAAAGCAATCTGTAAAATGGAAAATCAAAAACTAACAATGAAGAAATGAAATAGGAGATAAACTGGCAATAAAGGAGTAGAACTAAGACAAAACAATAAAATCTCAACTATATTCCTTTGTATGCCTTAGAGTATTCTGCAACATTTAAAGAGATTGTGTTATTCTACTCAAATTATAAATAACAAAGATAAAAAAAATTGGTGGGGTGTGGATGTGCTGTCTCCATTCCCACATGAAGTTGGCAATTTCCAGGAGATAAAGCACATTGTCTCTTGTTCTATCATTATGCTATGCATTGAAAACAAAATAGACACACACCTTTTGACAGATTAAAAGTAAATTTACAACAGATCTTTATTGCTAAATCTGTTTTGGATTACAACACATATAAATTGCACAATTTAATACCAATGAAATAAATACCATATCAATGGTTTTCAAATTGACAATCACTGTGTGGACTTCAACTAGCTGGGGAATTCTGGAAATTGAAGTCCACACATCTTGTTTGGACAAGTTTGAAAAACATTGACTTATACTCTACAAACTTTGTACTTTATTAAGAAAACAATCATGAAAATAAAAATAATATTTTGATGCTCACAAAATTGACCACATCATTTTGATTTTATCACCCATGAAACCTCAGCAACAGGATTTAGTGCAGTCTATTCTTTTGCATAAGCTTATTGGCTGATGTAAGCTTGATGTTACTTGAAAATGTAAATGGAATTGCATTTATCACAATGAACTGGCCCCATGGGTTGGGGCTTTTCTAACAATTTCTGATGTAATGAGCTAGGAATCCTTCTTTAATATATGTTCTATGTTGAGGAACTGTAATCTTCTTACTATGTCTAATGGAGTCTCTCCATCCTGAAATAAAGAGATAAAATGAACAAAAGTGAAAGTAAAGAATGAAGAAAGCATGAACATATGTAAAATCTAACTTGACCAATTTTAGACATTTGAAAGAATACTATGCCCACAAGCTTTCTTCTCTTTCTTTCTTTCTTTCTTTCTTTCTTTCTTTCTTTCTTTCTTTCTTTCTTTCTTTCTTTCTTTCTTTCTTTCTTTCTTTCTTTCTTTCTTCTCCCATCTAACCACAAAGTAGCTTACAATCATGAATGGTAAATATAAATATAATAAAACATTAATATTTTAAAACAAGCTAAACTAGGATCCAATTAAAGATGGGAGGACAGGGACAGGTGGGGGGGAAGTGGCATCTGTTGTTAATCGAACACCCACCTCCATTGTGGTTACATAATTGTGTTAATCATTGGAACTTTCCTCTATTTGCTTCAAAGTTTTGATGAATTTCTCTAGTGTAAATTTCAGAAGGTCATGGAAGGCTTTATTTGAGAAACATTGGAATAGTCCAGATAGTCTGAAACCAGTGGCAAATAACAATTCATATAGGATTATTACTTGAAGCTAATCTCTTCAATGTTAGGTCAAAATAAAAGAAATTTGATTAAAAGATGAGTGATGATCTCTACAAAAAATGACTGCATCTTATCGGTAAGAAATAAAATTCCTTTCCTAATGATTGACTTTCACACAGAGGAAACATCTGAATATTTTATGATATTATTTTATTTTTTTTCCTGTGCATATGTGTGTGTTTCTAAAACACCATTTACTTCTGCTAAGCTACCGCTAAACCATGTTATTCTCCTTATGGGAAACTTAAAATGATCTATGACCAGCATGCTACTCTCCATGTTGACTTTTTTCATGTGTCTTTAAACATCAGCCTTTTCTGGACAACATAACCTGGATCAAAATCTCCAAATGTAATTACTTACAATACATCATTACAAATATTCACAATGCCCATCTCCAATTCTCAGCATAGGGCTTCTGCATTGTCTGAGAGATGCTTCTGTCATCATGGCGCCCACATGAAAGTATAGAACACAGAAACCTTTCCCATCAAAATAGTACCTATTTATCTATTCGCATTTGCATGTTTTTGAACTGTTAAGTTGGCCTGAGCTGGGGTGAATAAGTCTTGATCCCTGGCTGTCAGCTTTCCAGCTGACAAGCCCAAGCATCTTAACCATCTTAACTGTTCTGCCTCTGGTAGAAAAGAAACCCACACATTTTTTTTCTTTTCTAAAATAAAAATAGATTCCTCTTTCTTAGTAGAGGAATAGTCCAAATCACAGGATGAGCTAGAGATCAAAATTAAAACAAGATTAGTTTTTCATACCTTGTCCTTTATGGAAAGGTCAGCACCTGCTTCAACTAATAATGGAATGATGGACTGGTTTTTCATTTCACAAGCGTAGTGGAGGGCAGTCTGTCCTGACTAGAGAAAAATCATAGTACATATTCTTCAGGAATAAATTGCACTCTTACCCTAATATACTTCTCAGTAAGTATAAAATTTAAAAAAGGACTGTACAAGTTCTTACATGCAAGCTCTTGAATTATCATATACTTAAACACTTGTCTATTGTTTCATCCACTATAGATTGGCTATTGATGTATAGCTGGCATCTCTATGCTATTTTACTGCAAAATGGCTCCATAAATAAAATGTTAAATTAAAACATAAATTAAGAACATCAAAACAAAAGAGTCAAAATATATGTTACATAATTTAAACAGTCTACATTGGGTTGCCACAGTGAAAATAGAATTTAGCATCTTTTTCAAATTACACGTTAAATTGTAAACAAGGATGAATGCACATGACATCCAAACTGTTTTTGAATAAGTTAGTTCACTTTGTATTATTTTCTGCAAGATATTCCTTAACTGCCTTGAGATTTGTACAAACATCTTATTCCATCACAGCCCTGAAGCAGAGTACAATATTGTACCAGAACAGCAGACTAAAAGGTCCAGTCCTATAGTATTTCCAACATACAGACTGAAATAAAAATAAGGTTTGGCCCTGATCTGAACAATTCCTCTTTGCATTATTGTATGGTTTTAATTAGAAAGTTGGAGCAGGTAAAGCCACAAAGTTTTAGCCGAAGTAAATCATACTTGTTCAGGAGACACGATTGTTTGCTAAAGGGCTGAATTCTTCATGGCCTCTTCTGTATGTTTTGTTTGGGGTTTTAATGATGAACAAGCTATTACAATTTTTTTCAAGAATAGTACCTGCAACCTAACTATATGGCTAGGTAGTAGATTTCTGCAATATTTGGAAAACATCCTCATTCTGCCTGATTGAGAAAACATGTTAAATTATCCTACTGTCTATGAAACTGTTAAAATATAAATCTAATAGCACTTTCCACACTACCATCTTCATACCCCAAACCTTCTGCAGTAATTTTGTAGTGCTGCACAAGTATCCTGATTGATATGCCTCTCTAACACTGAATCACTCAGTTGATAAGTGGAATGGCACAACTGGCAGCCAGCCAACTGGATCCCTTGTTGCTTTGTTTTTGTTGGTGAGGAAAAGCAACCAAAAAGTAACAGCTGAACAATGGGCCTAGGAAATGGCGAAGTTGGAGAGAGTCTGAAAGGCTGGAAAAGTGCAATATTTCAGTCTAATTGACCCTGATTGATCTCATCTAAGTTGGCTGGCTTGGGTCCCAGACAGAAGGAATCAATTGCTCCCACTTTTTCTCCTTATAGGGGAAAGAGTGCATTTCTCAATACCATGAGGGGGGGGGGAACGGTCATGTTCTTCCTCATCCTTAGGCAAATGATTTTTATGCATCACATCCAGCTACCACCCAAACTGTAATCCAGATACAGTTAAAGAATATGCAATAGATGCACTTACACCATCTTGAGCATTAACATATGCACCAGCTCTAAGTAGCATCTTGATGAGGTGTTCGTTCTGCTTACTTTTAGAAATCTGTTTAGCAGATTTTATGGGTGAGAAAGGAAAAAATGGAACATTATTGGAAAATGGATAACATTGTCATATTAAGCAGTCAGCTAATAAAGACTTTCTCTTATACATTCATCCAAATCCTCCTAAGAACATGTATGTGCTCTTAAATTTCCCAATACCAAACATTCTCAAAAACTAATTAGGAAATTTGATTAGCTGCCTCTCAGGCTCTGGATTATGGATTATGCTAAGTGTGTTTTGATCTTTCATAATGTTTGCAGGATCACAGGGTGATCACTCTAACTATGAATTGGGAAACTGCAATTGAGTGCATGTTGAGTAACCATAGTGTGCATAATCATTGTAGAAAACTTATGTGCCACTTACCCAAGAGATGTACTTTAATACTTAGACAATTGAACAGTGGCCAGGATGCAGCGTTTAAGTGTTGGCTAACTCCATTTTTAGGAACTCAAAAATTATTAGAGGAAGAAAAGGATCATAGGAATGATACAGATGAATTGCTAAATGACTGTTTCTAGCTTGGTGTCTTCTAGATATTGTAATTTCCCACATAGAAAGTCACTGTCACAGCACATCTAGAACACACCAAGTTGAAAGATAATGGTAATTAATCATCTCTTTAAATACTAATGCAGGAAACACTCTTTAAGGAATACATGGCCCTTACGGACAAAAATTAAAAGTGTTCCGTACAAATTAGAATTAAAAGTGCTCCTGTAATCAGAAAATATTAGATTGTGTAAACCTTTGATGGTGTTTTTTGCTTCAAAGAAGATCTGAGCAAAACATCTTCCTGAATCTGCTACATGGCAATATGACCCTTCACTTGCTTTGCTTTGCCCCCCCAGTTGGAAGACAGTTTTTGTGCACAGAGCATAGAACATAGAATCATAGGATTGGAAGAGTCCTCGGTGGCTTCTAGTCCAGCCTCCTACATGTGACAGGAAATATACCTTTCTGGACAAATGGCTGTCCTGTCTCCTGTGATGGAGAACAGCTTCCAGAGGCAAGCTGTTTCACTGATTATTTGTTCTCACTCTTAGAAAACTTCTTAGTACTAGGTTGGTCTGCCCTTGATTAATTTTCATCCATTGCTTCTTGTTCTGCCCTCAAGTGCTTTGGTGAATAAGTTGACTCCTTCTTGTTTGTGACAGCCCCTCAAGTATTGGAAAACTGCATCATATCACCCCTAGTCCTTCTCTTCATTAGACTAGAGTCCAGGGGTAGGCAACCTTGGCTCTTTTATGACTCATGGATTTCAACTCGCAGAATTCTTGAGCCAGCATGGCTGGCTCAGGAATTCTGGGAGTTGAAGTCCACAAGTCATAAAAGAGCCAAGGTTGCCTACCCTGTCACTAGACATATCTAGTTCCCTCAATCATTCATTGTATGGCTTATCCTTCAGACCCTTATCATCTTTGTTGGTCTTCTCTGCATGCCTAGGAGCCTCTTCTGATTTTAGAGAGAGCTGGCTAATGCTAAGATGATGTTCCAAGGAAATTCTAAATTTTCTGGCACTTAAAAAGGCCTGTGGAAATATGCAGCTCCTACAAAAGCCTTTTTCAGGTTTTGCTAGAGATGGAAATAAGAGACAAGAGACCTTACGGAGGGTTGCATGGCAGATTTTACCAAGCAGAGAAGATTGTAACCAGTAGGGCAAGATCACTAGAATCCAATATCTTACAATAAGAAAAATTAGAAAGTCATTATCAAGAATCCCTGCAACTATTGGGTTTCAAAAGGAAGCTATATAAAGAAAAAAAACCAACCTCCTAGAAAAACCTCTTACTCATTTTCGTCCTATGTATCAGATTATTTAGCCCTGTCTTTTGAGTGGACTGGCTTGTTCCCATCTGTTCTTTGCTTTTTCAATGGTCAGATATGTTGTCATATAATTTTTCAGTACAGGTAGTCCTCAACTTTCATCAGTTTGTTTAGTGACCATTTGAAGTTACAACAGTGCTGAAAAAAAGTAACATGCCCATTTTTCACACTTATGATCTTCGCAGCATCTCCATGGTCATGTGAATGAAATTCAGATGCTTTGCAACTGACTCATATTTATGACGATTGCAGTGTCCCAGGATCATGTGATCCCCTTTTGCGAACTTCTGACAAGCAAAGTCAATGGGGAAGCCAGATTAATTTAATTAATTTAATACCTGTGTTACTAACTTAAGAACAATAATGTCAAGAAAGGTTGTAAAATGGGGCAAAATTCACTTAACAACTGTCTCACTTAGCAACAGAAATGTTGGGCTCAGTTGTTGTGGTAAGTTGAGGACTACCTGTATTGGGTAAGGACTATTTTTCACATGGAAATGATATGAAGTGTTTCACTGAAACAAATCACAACTACCTCTTTGCATCAGGAAAGAGAATTATGGTTTCCCTAGAGCCCAAAACTCCTTGCTGAGTTAAATCTAAACCTAAAACATGTAACTACAACAACTATGATTAGATGGTTGAAAGAACAGGGGATAAGGATATAATTGTAGGCATCATTTGATACTTGTTTGACCTGGAACTTACCATTAGAAGATATCCCAGTAGCATAACAGGCATTAAAAGTATGATGAGCAAGTAATCAAGGAAACCAAATCGTTTTTTGACAGCATAGTGCAAACAGGTTCTTTCTTTCTAGAGAGAGAAAGGGGAGAGTTTTAGGCAGTTTCTCATTCCATCTACCATAAAAATTATTTGCGAATTGTTTGATGTCAGTTTGGAAAGGTTTTTGATGCTTTCCCATTGCAGAAATTACCTTGGGAATATTCTCAGTTCCAGGAGAGTTACCCTCAGTTAAAAGGAAAGAAAGAAGTGCTTCGTTGAGAAAGTAAAAAGGAATAATGAGTCAAGGAAAGACTAGAACCTTCCTAAATTGTTATCAACCTGCAGCCTTCTTCTTTTTTTCCTAATTTACACATGAATAATGTATAAATTATAATTTGTATATATTTGAGGACCTAGATAGTTTATTCAGAGAAGTGCAATCTATCATGTTTCCTATTGATCCTTACCCAACATGGCTTGTATCTATTTATCAGAAAGCTTTGGGAGTTGGCCTAATAAACTTTATTAATAACTCCCTAAGGGAGGGGAAGTTTCATCTTTTTTAAAACCATCTTCAAGAAGTCCTCACTTAATCTCTTAAATAATGTAATTAAGGTCAGCTTCTAAAGTTCCATGCTTTTCAAAGCAATCAAAGGTGGTGTGTTAAGTTCTTTGTTCGCGTGCGAATGATGAAGACACATGGTGACAAGTAACAAACACTTTATTCTCCTTCTCCAACACCCAAGCAATCTACAAACAGGCACGCAGGCCTTTTATAGGTTTCCAACCCCCAGGCAGTCCAGCCAATAGGAATCCTTCTTTCTTCGTGCCTTGCGCATGCGCACAAGGCTGGCACCGCTCTGTCTGGTCCCGGGCAGCTTTAAGAATGCCCGGGACCATTTGCAACATTTCTGGGCCTGCTGAGTTTCTTCATCAGGCCCAGGACACAACATGGTGGCTCCTTAGTTTCAGGCAGTGCTAGATGAAATCAATTGTATTTCAAATTAGTTTTAGGGAAGGCAGTGGGGTTCAGTGTCAACTGTCCAGTTAGTGCAGTGGTTCTCAACCTTTGGGTCAGGACCCCATTTGGGGTCGATTGACCATTTCATGGGGGTCGCCAAGCAAGGCTGTCCGCCATTTTTTTTGTCCGCCATTTTTTCCCCCTTTTCCGGCGGGTGCCTTACCTCCCTTGGGCTGGGCCAGCTGGTGGTCGGGCTGCTCCGTCTCTGCTGCTTGCCAGCTATGCCTCGGCCGGCGCAGGGGGCGGAACCACGCATGCGCGGCGCTCCCGGGCAGGGAAAGTCCTTGACTTACGTCCGGTTGGGTAGTCCTCAACTTACGACTGGTTTAGTCCTCGACTTACAACCAGTTTAGTCCTCGACTTACGACCGGTTGGGGTCGTGGCATTAAAAAGGTTGAGAACCACTGAGTTAGTGGATCCAGAAAAAGAAACTCCTGGGACATTATTTTACCAAGAGTATAAATTTTAGTGAATAAACCATATTGGCACAGACGAAGCAAAACCAGCTCTGGGTTTCCCATGCAAAAGCTGGCATAGTTAATTCCCCCCTTTCCCTATGGGCTACCTACAATCAATTACATCCACCAATCACTTCTGTTCATTTTGTTATGGGAACTGCCCAGCCCTGCTAGAACACCTGGTCGATGTGTCCTTAGGTTGGAGCACTGTCTCACAGGAACTGGTGATGCTCAGATGCAATCCCCCCACCCTTTATTCCATCCCATCTCCTCCCCTTTTTTTGTCAAGCTGTGAGTGAAGTGGAATATAGGTGAAAGGGCGAGTCAGTCCTGACATTCAGGTTGTCTTAATCATCTTGATGTAAGATGCTCATTTGGAGGGAGAGAGAAAGAAAGATTGTGACTATGTTGACCCTCCTAGCAATACCACTGACTATGATATCCGCTTGGCACTTTTTGAAACTAGGGGCATTATTCTGCAATGGTTTTACTTCTATCTTTCAGGAAGGATCAACTTTGGGAAGTTGAGGCTATTGTCAGATCAAACTGCTTCACCCTGCTTCGCTTTGCTTTGATGGCAGCCTATAAAATGTGATGAGGGGGAATGGGAAGGTAGGACATTGATTGTCTATAAAGACTGAATGTTAAAATAACCAGAATATGTATAAGCTAAAAATTAATGATAAATGTAAAAATGTTATTTTTATTTAATTGTATTAGTTAATACAATTGTATTAGTTTAAATAATAATTGTATTAGTTTAAACATGAGACAGTAAATACTAAGGGGAAAGAGAGGAAATATTTAATGTGGTAGCTTGAGACTTGTACTAAAGATACTTGTATGTCATTGAATTATCGATTAAGTCAGCCGCCACGTTGCTTTTTAAATACTTAAATGTAAAATTAGAAAAATCAATAAAACATTATAAAAAATAAAAAATAAAGGAATAATAAAGGTGGATTTTTAGAATTCAAACATACAAGGGCCTTCACAAAACATCCCAGACTTCATAACTATGGATAAGAATGGATGGATAGTGGATGTTGCAGTATTTGGAGACAGAGAAAGAAGTGGAGAAAATCGTAAAATACAAAGACTTGCAAATAGAAAAAGAATAGCAAAACAAAGCAAAGATAGTCGCAATAGTCATAGGAACCTGAGGCAAAATTCTAAAGCATCTGGAGCACCTCTTGAACACCACTGACATTAACAAAATCACCATCAGTCAATAGCAAAAATCAGTTTTAATTGAAACAGTTTATATCCTACAATAATACTGTATCTTTAACACCATCAAACAATATCTGCCTATCTTAGATCCCTGGGGAAAACCCAATAGATGGATGAAAATGTCACATCCAAAATCACCATCAGTCAATTGGAAAAGGCAGCTTTACTCAGAACCTCTTATATCCTACAAGGATACCTTTAATATCATTAAAAAACAGCATCTGCGATCACAGGTCCTTGGGAAAGACTCAGTAGATGGACAAAAATGCCAAATCCATGCTGAACCTCTGGTTGATTATGCATCCAACCATAATAATAAATCAAGCTGGCAGCTACAGTTGGATAATTGAAGTACTGCTCTTTTTTACAATATTTTACAATATTTACAAATATTGACATTTTTAATAGTAATTGCAATTAGAAATTATAATTATAATAGAAATTGATTACAAACTAAAAAAGAATGAAAAGGAAAAATAGAAGGTGCAGAAAAGAAAAGGAAGGAAAAAATAAGAATACAGTAAAGAAAAAGAAAAGAGATTTCCGGTTCCGGATCGCAGAATGTGCAGTCGTACAGAGAGCTCTGTCTCTTCTCCGGCTGCTTTCCCTCCACCGGTAGACCCTTAATTGGGTCAAAAAGTTGCCCTGGAGGGGCGACCACCATCGAGGAGGCCCTTGTTGACTGCGGAAGGGCGGCAGCTCCTTCCGCGGCCTGAGCCAGCTCCTTAGGGCCGTTGGAGAAAAGATCGGCCAGTAAAATGGCTGATCACCTAGCTGCACCAGCTGAAAGTCAGAAGAACAGCTAAGCATGAAGAACCACCATGGAGAAATCTGGGTGAGACCTTTCCTTCCCTCTCTTAGCCCCAACTATTTTCCTTTAAAAAGCCTCTGAATGATTTCCCTGCCTTAAGAGAGCGGCATCTGTCTACTTGGGGGAAAAAAGCTTTAAACAAAAGTATAAAACAGTAAATTTTTATTGGTTATTTAATTTTTTGGATATTTTGGGGCCCTGAAAAAATCCTTATCATAGAACATTATTATTATTTTATCTACTATGCTGGAGGTATTTGCTTTTTTCCCCTCTATTTTCCTAATGAGATAAAATCTTTTTAATTTGGAAAAAAAGATTTTACAGCCTACTGAGGACATCCTGTGGTGAAATCTGTTACTGCAATTGTACTTTCTCTTGTTTGAAGATGGGTTTGACCTTCAAATGATAATAAAAGAGAAAAGATAAAGGACTTGAAACAGCTGTGGGCTGAATTTGCTTACTAGAAATTGTGGAGGTGGATATTTGTTGACTTTTAATAAATATAGCTTCTACTAAAAGACTAAAAGACTATTTTAGTATGGAAATGGAGGAATCTTACCCAGAGCTTGATTATGAGCTTATATTGGAAAAAATCCTGGAAGCTACAGAGTACATGAAATCTTGGAGAAAAATTAAAGATCATATTGCAGAACCACAAACTGAATTTCAAATCTTAATGGACCAACCTATAGGCCAAGGAACAATAAAGGAGGAACAGATTAGCTTTAAAGAGGCCTATATGCAACAGTGCACGCAATTTAAAGAATGGAGGAAGAAGCTACTGATCAATTGAGCTCTAGAAAAACGCTTGACTTAAAACCTCAAATTGAGACTCTAAGTCTAATTGATCATTTCACAAGTCAACTAATCACTACAGAAGAGGATATTTCACAAGCCTACGTACAAATTATGGGGAACTCTGATGATCAAAGAATGACTTCAACTGAAATATTTGTAGTCTTAAAAGCAACAGGAACTAACTTTCAGATGTGATTTATTGAAAGCTGTGAGAACCTGGATAATCAACTAGTAACTACAACACGGAACAAAATTAACTATACTATCCAGATGATACTGGAAGAAGGGGAAGAGAACTTAGACCAGATTGATGTGTCGATAAATACCCGTACTCAAATACTAAGATTTGATGATACAGATGCGGTATTATGGAAACTGGCCTGGCACAGAAAGAAAGCTAGAGTTAGATTCAAAAATGTGATTTAAAATTTTACTTAATGGGTTAAAAAGGCTTTAGAGAGCTGGACTGATTTAACAATTAATTGAGTATGTGAAGTTAGCAAGATGATATTTTGTGTAACAATATGCTTGTTTTAGATATGATAATTATTTAGACGAGATTTAAATTTTATCTAATGGGTTGAAATGATTTTTTATAGAAATAGATTGACTGATAGATTATATATTTAAAATAGAGTAGAATAATATTTTTTTTTTAAGTAGGATAACTATTTTGTAATGGAAGAAGAATAAGAGAGATTTGTGATAAGAGAAGAAATGGTACTAATTAATGACCTATTAGACTAAGAAATAGAATATATGTGGAAAT